ACTACATACTGCTTAAGGGAACCATACACCAACAAGACATAACAATCATAAATATTTATGCCCCAAACAATGGTGCAGCTATGTTCGTCAAACAAACTCTTCTCAAGTTCAAGAGTCTAATAGACCACCATACCATTATCATGGGAGACTTCAACACACCTCTCTCGCCACTGGACAGATCTTCCAAACAAAAGTTGAATAAGGAAACTATAGAACTCAATAACACTATTAATAACCTAGACCTAATTGACATATATAGAGTATACCACCCAACATCAAGCAGTTACACTTTTTTCTCAGCAGCACATGGATCCTTCTCAAAAATAGATCATATATTATGTCACAGGGCAACTCTTAGACAATATAAAGGAGTAGAGATAATACCATGCATCTTATCTGATCATAATGGAATGAAACTGAAAATCAACGATAAAAGAAGGAAGGAAAAAGCATACATCACTTGGAGAATGAACAATAGGTTACTGAATGATCAATGGGTTATAGAAGACATCAAGGAGGAAATTAAAAAATTCTTAGAGATAAATGAAAACACAGACACAACATATGGGAATCTATGGGACACATTGAAAGCAGTTCTAAGAGGAAAATTCATTGCTTGGAGTTCATTCCTTAAAAAAAGAAAAAACCAACAAATAAATGATCTCATACTTCATCTCAAAATCCTTGAAAAAGAAGAGCAAAACAACAGCAAAAGAAGTAGAAGGCAAGAAATAATTAAAATCAGAGCTGAAATTAATGAAATCGAAACAAAAGAAACAATTGAAAAAATTGACAAAACTAAAAGTTGGTTCTTTGAAAAAATAAACAAAATCGACAGACCCTTAGCGATGCTAGCGAAGAGAAGAAGAGAGAGAACTCAAATTACTAGCATACGGGATGAAAAAGGCAATATCACAACAGACACTTCAGAAATACAGAAGATAATCAAAAACTATTTTGAATCCTTATACTCCAATAAATTAGAAGATAGTGAAGGCATAGATAAATTTCTTAAGTCATATGATCTGCCCAGATTGAGTCAGGAGGATATAGAAAACCTAAACAGACCAATATCAATTGAGGAAATAGAAGAAACCATAAAAAGACTACCAACTAAGAAAAGCCCAGGACCGGATGGGTATACAGCAGAATTTTACAAAACCTTTAAAGAAGAACTAATACCAATACTTTTCAAGCTACTTCAGGAAATAGAAAAGGAGGGAGAACTTCCAAATTCATTCTACGAGGCCAACATCACCCTGATACCTAAACCAGACAAAGACACTTCAAAGAAAGAAAACTACAGACCAATATCTCTAATGAACCTAGATGCAAAAATCCTCAATAAAATTCTGGCGAATCGGATACAAAAACATATCAAAAAAATTGTACACCATGATCAAGTAGGATTCATCCCTGGGATGCAAGGCTGGTTCAATATACGGAAATCAATAAATGTTATTCACCACATCAATAGACTTAAAAATAAGAACCATATGATCATCTCGATAGATGCGGAAAAAGCATTCGACAAAGTACAGCATCCCTTTATGTTCAAAACTCTAGAAAAACTAGGGATAACAGGAACATACCTCAATATTGTAAAAGCAATCTATGCTAAGCCTCAGGCTAGCATCATTCTGAATGGAGAAAAACTGAAGGCATTCCCTCTAAAATCTGGAACAAGACAGGGATGCCCTCTCTCTCCACTTCTGTTCAACATAGTTCTCGAAACACTGGCCAGAGCAATTAGACAGACGAAAGAAATTAAAGGCATAAAAATAGGAAAAGAAGAACTTAAATCATCACTATTTGCAGATGATATGATTCTATACCTAGCAGACCCAAAGGCTCTACAAAGAAACTATTAGAGCTAATAAATGAATTCAGCAAAGTGGCAGGATATAAAATCAACACACATAAATCAAAGGCATTCCTGTATATCAGCGACAAATCCTCTGAAATGGAAGTGAGGACAACCACTCCATTCAAAATATCTTCAAAAAAAATAAAATACTTGGGAATCAACCTAACAAAAGAGGTGAAAGACTTATACAATGAAAACTACAGAACCCTAAAGAGAGAAATAGAAGAAGATCTTAGAAGATGGAAAAATATACCCTGTTCATGGATAGGCAGAACTAACATCATCAAAATGGCGATATTACCAAAAGTTCTCTATAGGTTTAATGCAATGCCAATCAAAATCCCAACGGCATTTCTTGTAGAAATAGAGAAAGCAATCATGAAATTCATATGGAAAAATAAAAGACCCAGAATAGCAAAAACAATGCTAAGCAGGAAGTGTGAATCAGGCGGTATAGCGATACCAGACTTCAAACTATACTGCAGAGCAATAGTAACAAAAACAGCATGGTACTGGTACCAAAACAGGCGGGTGGACCAATGGTACAGAATAGAGGACACAGAAACCAATCCACAAAACTACAACTATCTTATATTTGATAAAGGGGCTAAAAGCATGCAATGGAGGAAGGATAGCATCTTCAACAAATGGTGCTGGGAAAACTGGAAATCCATATGCAACAAAATGAAACTGAATCCCTTTCTCTCGCCATGCACAAAAGTGAATTCAAAATGGATCAAGGAGCTTGCTATCAAATCAGAGACGTGCCGTCTGATAGAAGAAAAAGTTGGCTACGATCTACATACTGTGGGGTCGGGCTCCAAATTCCTCAATAGGACACCCATAGCACAAAAGTTAATAACTAGAATCAACAAATGGGACTTACTCAAACTAAAAAGTTTTTTCTCAGCAAAAGATACAATAAGAGAGGTAAATAGGGAGCCTACACCCTGGGAACAAATCTTTACTCCTCACACTTCAGATAAAGCCCTAATATCCAGAGTATACAAAGAACTCCAAAATTAAACAATAAGAGAACAAACAATCCAATCAACAAATGGGCCAAGGACCTGAACAGACACTTCTCAGAGGAGGACATACAGTCAATGAACAAGTACATGAAAAAATGCTCACCATCTCTAGCTGTCAGAGAAATGCAAATCAAAACCACCCTAAGATACCATCTCACTCCAGTAAGATTGGCAGCCATTATGAAGTCAAACAACAACAAGTGCTGGCGAGGATGTGGGGAAAAGGGTACACTTGTTCATTGCTGGTGGGACTGCAAATTGGTGCAGCCAATTTGGAAAGCAGTATGGAGATTTCTTGGAAAGCTGGGAATGGAGCCACCATTTGACCCAGCTATTCCCCTTCTTGGTCTATTCCCTAAAGACCTAAAAAGAGCATGCTACAGGGACACTGCCACATCGATGTTCATAGCAGCACAGTTCACAATAGCAAGACTGTGGAACCAACCTAGATGCCCTTCAATAGACGAATGGATAAAAAAAATGTGGCATTTATACACAATGGAGTATTACTCTGCATTAAAAAATGACAAAATCATAGAATTTGCAGGGAAATGGATGGCATTAGAGCAGATTATGCTAAGTGAAGCTAGCCAATCCCTAAAAAACAAATGCCAAATGTCTTCTTTGATATAAGGAGAGTAACTAAGAACAGAGTAGGGACGAAGAGCATGAGAAGAAGATTAACATTAAACAGGGATGAGAGGTGGGAGGGAAAGGGAGAGAGAAGGGAAAATGCATGGAAATGGAAGGAGACCCTCAGAGTTATACAAAAGTACATACAAGAGGAAGTGAGGGGAAGGGGAAAAATAATATAAGGGGGACAAACGAATGTCAGTAGAGGGAGCAGAGAGAGAAGAGGGGAGGGGAGGTGAGGGGAGGGGAGGGGGGGATAGTAGAGGATAGGAAAGGCAGCAGAATACAACAGACACTAGTATGGCAATATGTAAATCAATGGATGTGTAACTGATGTGATTCTGCAATCTGTATATGGGGTAAAAATGGGAGCTCATAACCCACTTGAATCAAATTGTGAAATATGATATATCAAGAACTATGTAATGTTTTGAACAGCCAACAATAAAAAATTAAAAAAAAAAAATAAGTGGCCTGTTTTCACCTTTCGCATTTTCCTCCACTTTCTCACCCGCAAGGAGTCTCAAATAGTTCCACAGTCCTCTACAAGTCCCCTCCATCTCCTTCGCTTCGGTCTATGGCAACTCTCAAACAGAAGATCTTGTCCTTTTCCTACCTTGTTTCCCTCCTACACTCAAAAAAGCCCCACATCCTGACCGTAGTAGTACTTTGTAATATCACTGGGTTCTGTCCCCTCTTGCCGCCTTCGGTGAAACCAGAGCGGTAAGACTCCCACCTTAGCCAGTCTCTCTTGGGTTGCTGGAGCTGCCTGTGACTAGGTTTCCCGTCTAGGTCCAGTCAAATCCATCCTCCATCATCAGCGTCTTGCGATCTGAGGGCTCTGGGGGTCCCTGTCCCTTAACAGTTGATGCTCCAGCTCCATCACAGTTGTGCTCCTTGGAAGATGCGACTGCTTCTCAACTGCTTGAACTGATCCGGGTACACCCAAAGTACCTGCGCCTCTGCAACACACACTAAGCAGTTGTGCCCTCTGACAGGTTACCTCTTGACTAGTTTGGTTGTCACCTCCTCCAGAAAGTCCTCCTGGATGGTCCCGCCCCTCCACAAAACCCTTTATGTTCCCATACCGCCACGTCCTTAACGCGTGCTGGTGCTACCATCAGTTTCCAGAGCTTGGCATCCGCAGACCTGTGCACCCTTTGCGGGTGACGGCTGTGTCATAATCGTCTCTCTAGCCCCAGCCCCTAGCCCTATATCCACCCAAATCCCGGGAACTCCTCCCTGCAAAGGAGCCGGGGAGCCCTCCTTCAGTGTGCCTTTCAGCCCCGGCGGGGTAGCCGAGGAGCCTCAGAATCTGCTTCTCCGCGTGCCCAGCACGGCCTCAAGGCCCACGCGCGCGGAGCAAGGAGCGCGCAACACGCTGGATCCGGCGCTTGGGGTCTGCGCCGTGGCTCCGCCCTATTCTTTCCCTGAGGCACCGCCCCTGGGCGGGCAATGGCGCGGCGCGGCTCGGCGAGCAGTTGCCAAGGCAATATCGCCGCCGCAGCGTTTAGAAGAGCACAGGATGTCGAGTAGCCTGCAGGAGAACGTCGCCCAGGCGGTGGAGGCCGATGATACCCCAACTCCTACTCTCACCCCTAACCCCAACCCAGACTCGGCCTCCGCGAGCGAGAACGGTAAGAAGGAGGGTGCCGTTGTGCTCCCACCTGGCCCGGACGCAACGCGCGAGGGGCGGCGGTGTCGCACCGGCTGATTCCTCGAGCAAGCTGCCTGCCCAAAGCGGCGCTGCTGGAGGATGCCCTTGGGCAACCCAACTCTGGACCAGACTTTGCGGAGTCTCCAAACGCGGGCAGGAGAGAAGCCCAGACCGCCCGCGGTGTGCCCTGTGCGCTCCAGTCGCGTAGCTGCTTTCCGGGGTCTGAAGGAAGGTGTGTTTGGGAGCTCGTCGCCGCATTGGTTAGACACCAGTGGAGCAAGAGAAATCTGGAGACCATTCTGACTTTGCACTTTTGGACTGCCTTAGTTTAACGAAAAAAGCTTAGCCTGAATGACACCTGTCCCCTATTTCAAATTTGGATTCTGATTTATTTATTTATTTGAAACTAGAGACTGAACCCAGGGATGCTTTACCTACATCTCCAGCCCCTTTTATTTTTTATTCTGAGACAGGGTTTCAATAAGTTGCAGAGGTCTGGCCTCAAACTCAAGATCTTCCTGCCTCGGCCTCTCCAGTCACTAGGCTTGTTTTAAAGTGTGTGTTGATAGATGTGAAACGAGGTGGATAAAGAACCTTAATCCTCATTGCACCGGAACAAAGCATTATTATGCTCTGCCTTTAGCATAAAAGGAAATTTAAGCCCTGAGAATTTAATTTGCTTAAAGTTACGTACCACAGAGTATGGATAGGGCGACAAAATCTGATTCCAACTCTTGGATTTTCCAGTATGTGGCTGTTCCGCCATAAAAGATCATCTGGAGGGAGCTGCCTCCAAAATAAGTAGGCCCGTTCTCTAGAAATTTTTAAATGTCTGCCAGAGGTGTAGATAAAAAACGAAATTTGGGTTAGATTCTTGACATTTTCCCGTGTAGCTATTGTTTCCTAGTTTTGCCTTTCAATTTGCTTTACAATTTGAAGACTGATTTAATATTTTTATGCTAATAAGAATATAGTATAGAAAGCCAATTATTGGCACCATAAAATCTCCATATATAAAACACAGGTGAATTTTAAATCAAAAGAGTAACAGGGAAATATAGCAAAGCTTTAAAATATGGCTAGCTAATTAAATAAAAATATTCTTGCAACTTTCTTAAACTAATGTTTAGGCTCTAATCAAAGATTCCTTTATGCCCTCACAAAAACCACTCCTAAATCTGATACATTTCTGGTATCCTGGTCCATGGTGCAGCCAACACACACACACACACACACACACACACACACACACATACATACACACTTGTGAAATCTGTTGTACTTGCTTCATTTATATTTACAGTTCATATGGCACAATGGGAAGAGTCTGAAATCGGTTTGATTTTGCACATTCCATTATTATTACATGACTTTACATAAAATATTTCTCTGGACAGCATTTTCCTCAGCTACCAAAGGAAAGAGGTTAGTTCTCCCTTTATGTCATTTCCACTGTCATCAGCCAGTGTCTGCCCAGCCTTGGTGGGTGCATCAATGGCCCTCATAGAAATTATTCTTTATAAGGAAAATCAGCATTTTTATTCGGTCTCCCATTGCTTTTATTTCTCTTCTCTTTTATCCTTAGTTCTCTCTCCTTTTCTTTTACACATTCTCTCCCTCTCCCTCTCCCTCTCTCTCTCTCTCTCTCTCTCTCTCTCTCACACACACACACACACACACACACTTTTGAAGGACGTATATTGAGAAAAAAACTTTTAGAATAATTTGTGATGATAGATGCATTTATTTTTCCAAAAGTTCCAGAATCTATTGCTGGGCTCCAGGAATATTATTGTAATCTGTGTTTGGAAAACTCCAAGAAAATAAATCCTTATATATTGCATGTACTCCAAGAAGTGGATGAAGATATTAAAAAGGGGTAAGAAAAATAAGTATTTGACTACATTAGTAGTTTTACTAATTCTTAGATGTGTGAAAGTCCTGGGCTACTCACTGATTTTATAGCCATGAAAAAGCTGGGTAAAAATGGATGAATGTTTTGATTCAGATGAATAAGTAGATGAGTGACACTGTTGGTAGATCTTAGAGATGGTATAGGATACTGGGAAGAGCACTAGACCAAGAGCCCTCAAGTCAGGGCTCCAGATTCCTTTTAGCTCTTGTGAGCTGACAAATTTAGGCAAATCATCAATATTGTCTATGTTGTTAATATAAAGAGGGAATACTTTGCGTATGTGTGTGTAAGAGAGAAATTAATTCATACAGAATACACTAAAGCGCTTTGCAAAGTCTATAGAATGTCCAGTAGTTTTTAGTTACCTGGTAAAAATCTACTATATACTTGTAAGTCATTCTACTACATGGTTCCAGTATCTGTCATCTTTGTATTTCAGAATCTTTTCTCCATTTTTTTCTTTCTTTCTTTCTTTTTTTTTTTTTTTTGTATTTTAACAGATTGGAAAAAAGAATCACCTTAAACATCGCGGGTAACAATAGATTAATCCCAGTAGAAAGAGTAACAGATGAAGATTTTGGGATTCTTTCCCAAATTTTAGAGACTTGCCCATATATTAATGGTATGTTTGATTAAGAATAAGTACCTCCTGCTCTTCAGTGTTCTATTTTATAAGGAATGTAAAGTTTCATCTGTGTTTTTCAGGTTTGGATGTGAGATATAACGTTCTAAGTGATGCTGGTGCATACTATGCTGCAAACCTGCTTGAGGTATTATTTGACTACAGAATATTCTTAGTTCTGTTTACAGTGAAACTACTTAGTCTAATGGCACGTACACAAACACTACTTATGCAAAATGTCAAGGTCCTGACTCTGTGCTATATTTATAATACTTGAAATACATGGAAATTCATATTTGGTCTCAGTAGAGCTGATACCCAGATTTCCTGAGTTATCTTTTGCAAACTTGTATATCATTGTTAAATACATAAAGTATGTCCACACTTTTTAATAATTTTAAATATTTTAAAATTTGTTCTAATTAGTTATTCATGAAAGTAGAATGCCTTTTGACACATCATACATAATTGGAGTATAACTTCGCATTTGTTTGGTTGTACATGATGTAGAGTTACCCAGGTCATATAATCATATATGCACATAGGGTAATAATGTCCAATTTATTCTACAATCATTTCTACACCCATGCCCTGTGGGAAGCCATTCTCGCCCGTGATTTGAGTCACCTCCCTGGCTGGGTGAGAGGAGCTTTGACAACTGTGTCAGAGCCTTCCCCACCCTGTCCCAGGGGCGAGGGCTTGTCCGTGTGGAGGTGTGCCTGACCACTGACCTGAAGACCAGTCACTGACCCTGACCTTGGAATGCTGCCCTCCTCGACCTTCATTGGATGGGATTTTCCCTTGAATTTTTTGTTCCCCAATAAAAGCTCACTCCCTGGCGTGCTCTCCCTCTCTTGCTCACCGCATTAGGTGGCTGGAGGCGGGAGCTAGGAGAAGCCATCTCCGGAGCTGGGCATTAAAGGTAACGAGAGTATGTCTCTTTAATTTTAAAACTCACTAGTTAATTTCTATGCTTCGAACCTCTTTTATGAAGCTCACGCGCTGGTTGCGCGGCAGAATGCCCCCTCCTTCACTCCTCTCTCTAGTCCAAAATACCTCTATTCTTCCCCCACCATTATGAATTACCATAGCATGTCCACACTTTTTGAGTTGTTGGTAAAAGTGAATACAGTAATTTTCTTTCACTTATATTGAAAATTCATTATTTTTCCTTAATGGTAGTTGCTTTTGCTGGAATTCAGTTTTTCTGGATCATAAAAATTTTCTTTGATCAGTGTTTTTAATTAAATAAATGTGTATATGATTGATTTCCATAATACATGCATAATTGCTTCTTTTTTATCTCTCATAGACACAGAGGTATCTCATTTACTTAAATCTTATGTTTAATGATATTGGACCTGAAGGTGGAGAATTGATTGCTAAAGCACTTCATGTAAGCATTTATGTACTTCAAACTAACATATTACTTGGGAATTTTAAGTTTTGATTGCTTGGTAACAACATAATTAAATGTTAATGTAAAATTATACTATTTCTTTATTTCACTTTTAGTCTATTAAAGTATGGACATTACATGAGCACTTTTGAATTCATTTAAAAATAGTTTTATCAAGATTATAATACATAATAAATTTATCCTTTTAAAGTCTTTAATTCAGTGAGAGTTTTTAATAAAAAGTATATTTAGAGAGCTGTGCAGCCATCACCACTATCAATATTTTTAGAACATTTTCATCACCCCCATCCTATAGAAACTCCAAACCTATAGCAATCCCCCCTCCATTATTCCCTCCCAGTACTCTCCAGTCTTTGGAGGTTACTAATCTACTTACTATATGTACACTTACCTATTTCTGAACATTTCATATAGATGAATCCTATGATACAAGGCCTTTTGTTTGCTGCCTTAATGTGTAAAGTTTCATCCATATTGTAACACGTTCCATCTATTTTTATTAGCAAGTAATATTCCACTGTATGGATATATCATATTGTGTTCATCTATCTGTTGATGGACATTTGGGTTTCTACTTTTTGGCTATTATGAATAATGCTACTATGGATAGTCACATGTTTTTTATGGACTTGTTTTCAGTTTGTAGGATACATACCTAGGAGTGGAGTTGCTGGGTCATGTGATGTCTATTTAACATTTTGAAGAACTGACAATTGTTTTCCACAGTGGCTGCAGCTACCAACAATTCTACCAGCAATGTTTGAGTGTTCCAATTTCTCCACATGCTCACCAGCACTTGTTATTGCCTAATTTTAACCTTCTTAGGGAGTGTGAAACAGTTTGTAGTTTTTTGATTTACTTTTCTCTAATGAATAATGAGGTAGAGAATCTTTTCATGCGCTTATGGTTCATCTGTATATATCCTTTGGAGAAATCTCTGTTCAAATCTTTTGCCCTTTGGAGATTGGGTTTTATTTTGAGACAAGGTCTTATCATATTATTCAGGTTGGTCATTTTATTTTTTCTCCTTCTTTGAAGCACTGAGGATTGAACCCAGAGTTTACATATGTAAATGCTAGGCAACTGCTCTAACCCTGAGCTCTATCTCCAGCCCCTCAGATTGGTCTTGAACTTTTGGGCTAAAGAGATCCTCCTGCCTCCGCCTCCTGAGTGGCTGGGACTACAGGGGTATGCCCTGCAACTGGTGGGTTGTCCTTTTGGGTTGTAAGAATTCTTTATATATTCTATATATAAGTTTCTTATCAAATATGTGATCTGCAAGTCATTTTCTCTCATTCTGTACGTTGTGTTTTCACTTCTTTGATGTTCTTTGAAGTATAAAACCTTTTAGATTTGATCAACCCAATTTTTAATTTTGTTGCTTTTCTTTTGATGTTAAATATCTAGAGCGCTTTGCCCAACCCAAGGTCACAAAGATTTACATGTATATTTTCTAAGAGTTTTGTAGTTTTAGCTCTTTTCATTTAGTTCTTTCATCCATTTTGAATTAATTTTTATATATGGTATGAGGTAGGCATCAAACTTCATTCTTAACTTCATTCTTTTATATAATGGCTATCCACTTGTCCCTACCACATTTGTTAAGAAAACTGTTCTTTACCTCCATTCCATTGAATTACCTTGACCCCTTTGTCCAAAAAAAAAAAAAAGCTGATGTAAATGTGAGGGTTTATTTCTGCAGTACTCTGAATTCCATTAATCCATTTTCTGTCCTTATGCCAGTACTATACTATCTTGATTTTTATAGTTTTGTAGTAAGTTTTGAAATTAATAAGTGTGAGTCTTCAAACTTTACTAATTTTTCAAGATTATATTGGATCTTCTGGGTCCCTTTATTTCCATACACATTTTAGGAGTTTATCAATTTCTATAAGAAAAAGCAGCCAAGGAGTTTGATAGGAATTTTGTTAAATCTATAGATAAATTTGTAGAGTATTGCCATTTTAACAATATTAAGTCTTCCAAACGAAGAACATGGAATGTGTTCCATGTAATTTCTTTCAACTGTGTTTTGTAGGTTGCAATGTGCAGGTCTGCTATTCTTTTGTTAAATTTATTAATATTTTATTTTTTTCTGATGGTACTGAAAGTGAAATTGTTTTTATAACTTCATTTTTAGGTTGTTCATTGCTAGAGTATAGAAATACAATTGATTTTTGTATTTTGATACTGTATCCTATGCTGAATTTGTTTATTAGTTCTAACAGCATTTCTTTAGTGGATTCCTTAGGGGTTTTCATATTCAGTACAAGATCATGTCATATCCAAGCATTTTTTCTAATTTGGATTTTTTTTTCTTTTTCTTGCCAAATTTCCCTAGCTCTAACTTTCCATACAGTGTTACATAGAAGTGACCAGAACAGACACACTTCTCTTCTTCCTGATCTTAAAGGAGTTTGAATTCATTTTAAACAGATAATTATTTACATTATTATATATCCTAACATGTATTCATTAGAATAATGAAATATCTATAATTTTGTTATTTAATCAAGAGTGGAATAAGAAATGGAATTAAATCTTGCAAGTGTCTGAGAAATTATATTGCTTTAAAATGGGAGTTAGGAATTTAACACTGCAACAACAAAAAAGTGATGGCATAATGGAAAATGACTGCTGAATGGGTACAGGACTACTTTTAGGAATAATGAAAATGTTTTGGAACTAGCTACAAATGATAGCTACACAACATTGGGAATGTAGTAAATGCCACTGAGCTGTATACTTTAAAATGGTTAATTTTACATTATGTGGATTTCACCTCTATAAAAAAAGTGGTATAATTTCTTAGAAAATAAATTTATATTTTCAATGAAAGGAAAGTTTATTAAAATGTGTTTTATTTACTGGTTATTGACTGGACTTCTGTTTCTTGGTCATTCGTTTTACTAAACTAGTAGATTTTTATCTATTGTTGGAAATTGAGTATTACCTTTAAGGAATATCCTAGTCTATCTCCTTGAAGATTACATGTGTTTATAAATGGTAATATTCCCTCTCCTAACTCATTTAGAGAATTCCATGGATTAAAAAGTTAAATAACAGCTGGGCGCAGCAGTGCACACATGTAATCCCAGTGTCTCGGGAGACTGAGGCAGGAGGATCGTGAGTTCAAAGCCAGCCTCAGAAAAAGCAAGGCACTAAGCAACTCAGTGAGACCCTGTCTCTAAATAAAAAAGAAAATAGGGCTGGGAATATGGCTCAGTGATTGAGTGCCCCTGGGTTCAATGCCCGGTACCCCCCAAAAAGAGTTAAATAAGTTTTGATTCTTTTCTTTTTTAGAAGAATACAACTTTGAAATATCTGCAAATGACTGGAAATAAGATTGAAAATAAAGGTGGAATGTTTTTTGCTTCAATGCTGCAAATTAATTCATCCTTAGAGAAATTAGATCTGGGTGACTGTGACCTGGTGAGTAAATTGTTTATGAAAAAAATCACCAAGATAATGTGTTATTCTCCCGGGAAATCAGCATAGAGAACCATCCAAGAAACCAGTCAAATGGCAGTCTTATGAATTGTTAATCTTGTCCCTAATGTCTAAAATAAGAGAAAAAGTGGGATTTTTTTCCTTGATATAATAGTACAGACTGTTAATAAAATCAGATTATAGTAAATATCATAGAAAAATATACAGTATAATAAAAATATTCCTAAACTTTTGTCCATACTCATCTTAACCTGTAAGGGATTTTTGAAGAAAACAATCATGTTCATTTTAATTAAACAAATACTAGTTCTCTAGTATAATACAAATTCCTTTACTTTGAAAATACTTTGTAATATTTACATTATGCCATAAAAATTTAAAATAATGCTAAAAAAAAAAAGAAAAATACTAGGATGGTAAAAGCTACTCTGAGCCTGATAATGAAAAATGTGGTTTTTGCTTGACTTCATGTGCTATATGAACATAAAAGAATGCCTGTGCAAAGTCATATATTGCATAAGAAGTATGAGCCCTAGCTGGGGTCCACATCTTGAGGACCCCACACAGAACCTTGAGGGCCAAGAAGCAAGACTACAGTCAGACACCCAAGAAATGAATACTGAAATGTTAAGAAACTCCTTGTGCATGTTGCAAACAGGTTTTAGGCCAGGGAAAGAAGACTATAATAACAATTGATTTCTGAATTCAATCAACCTACAATTCAAAGAGCAATCTTTTTAAAAACAAAGTTTGATTTATTAGAATTCAGATAAATGATCTTGAAAGATTTATGTAGAGAGATTAATTTATACAGTATCAGTTTCCTTAATGAATTTTCCTGTTTATTTTTTAGGGAATGCAAAATGTGATAGCATTTGCAACAGTACTAACTCAAAACCAAGCAATTAAAGGAATAAACCTAAACCGACCTATACTGTACGGGGAACAGGTATGTTTTCAAAGTGATAGTAGCTAGTATAACAGCATGTGAATAAAACTAAGTTCTTAGTGAAGTTTATAGTGTATGAATACATTGTATTTTTGGAATTATCCTTATATCTTTGTAAACTACTACTTACAAATAGAAATTTTTAAAAGGAAAATTATTATATTCTTGATAAGACTTTTAAAATTGAATATGCTTTTAGATATTGCTTATTTAAGCATCAAATGTCTTTTTTTCTTGAAACTCAAACTCTGAATGAGTAGACCTATAGGGTTAAAACATTCAAGACAAAAATAATATATGGTAAAAGTTTTATTAAAGGCCAGGATGTAAGAGCCCAGTGTCAACTGTCTTTATTTGTTGAAATGTGATGAAGCATTGTATTTTTGAAACATGGTAACAAATAACAGCAAAATGTGTCTGAACAGCAGTTTGGCAAGTTTGAACTTGAACCTATGTGTAGTTAAGGTGCATGTTGGAGATAGAAAAAACATGGTTGCTTCTTTCAGGCTTCTTTTTCCTTAACAAATATCCTTTAAGCCACTTTAGAGTGGCTTAAACTTACTTAAATAGTGTTGAGAGAGAGAGAATATGACCTATTAGAACAAATTTAAAAATATTTTAAATTTTAAAAAAGTTAAAAAAGGAATAAGAACCCCTTTTTTATTGGTCTAAATAAAAAGAGATATATCTGCTAAAAGGAAAAGTAAATATCCAAAGCACTTTTTTTTTTTCTTCTTCTTTTAAGTACTGAGAATTGAACCCAGGGATGGTTAATCCCTGAGCTATGACCCCAGTCCTTTTTCTTTTTTATTTTGAGACAGGATATCAGGAAGATGCTGAGGGTCTCACTAAATGCTAAGGTTGGCCTCAAACTTGTGATTCTTTTGCCTTAGCCTCCCAAGTTGCTGGGATTATATGCATGCACCACCAAAAGCACTTTATATAGTCCAAAAAATAAACTTTATCAAAGTTCAATGTGCAAATGTTTAATGTTTTAAGTTCAATATTTAAGTGAGTTTTGAACTTACAAATGAAATTTAACAAAGTTCAAAGCTCTTTTAATAACTTAAAATTAACTACCTGATAGTTACACCTTAGTATGAGTAATTCAGAACCATATTTTAAGTACTATTTTTCACATTCAGAAGTGTATCTTTGCCTATGTAGATCTCTCCCTTTGAATTACCTCTGTACTTTTCTTTACTAACATTTTTTGAGTTTTATATCATATTGTTTCATAAACAGAAATTTAATCTGTTCAACAAGACACCCAGAATCCTCAAATAATAGAAACATACTTTTAAAAATGCTTTAAATACCAGCAAAATACCTGGCTCAAAGTAGGCACACAGTGAATTGCTTCATTTACGAATCATAAATATTTGAATGCAACCCTAAACCAGACAAAATGCAGGGTGACAGAGATAAAAGATCAAATCATATGACCCTGTCTTCAGGAGTTTTCAGTCTGTGTAGAGGGAAATCAACCAGTCTAGAGAATGATGTGCTTGAAGTCACTGAAATCAAAGCAGGGAGAGGTGAGGCAGCAGGGAAGGATCTCAGATTGAGGACCTGACAAGTTTGACAGTTAAATTAAAAATTTTTTGGACTATATCTGTTAGGAAATAAGTATGTTTAAATATATGAAATCACATTAGATGCAATCCCTCTTCTAAATTTGTTGAGTGGTGTCATTAATCACAAATCTGTCTGAGAACAAATATTAAAAGCCCAGGGCTCCTATATGGGGCCATGTTCTTGCCTAGCCTGATACTTTAGGCCTCTTCTCTTTTCTAAGGTAGACATCACTGTATGTATCCTAGAGGGCATTAGTCCACTCTTTAGTATTTGTAGAGTAAAAACCTTCTTTCCTATACTGTGTTGTTCCCAAATAAAAGCCTGTAAACCTACTGCATTTAAGGTTTAATGTTCATTACCATAGAAAAATCAGGATGATAAGATAAAAAGTTGTAAATGTTGACCTAACCTTTGATGCTCATTGATATTATCTGGGAAGCTTAGATAAATAGTGATGCCAGGTGCAACTAAATTAAGTCACAAACTCAGCAAATGGGGACAATATCCTTTACTATTTCTGATAGTAGTTCTCTCCTTTAATAAAGATGGTTCCTTTTTCAAGCTTCTTAGTTTAAAAATGCAGTCAAGGTACAAACACAAAAATGTATTATGTCCTCTTGTCAGCAGGAAGCAGAGCAATAGTGGACCTGTAAGTGGTCAGTTTGCATTTTTTAAGATTCCAGACTACACAGCATTTCTTTAGTTATATCTTTTCAGTAATTTCAACAAATCAGATACAGAATTTTGGAAAACTGAACAATAATAAATGATTTACAGTTTACTATAGAATACTTATTTTATGGCAGGTGCTTATTTGTTGACTTATTTAATTCTGTGAGGGAAGCATAATTTCACCTATTTTACAGAAAAGTAAATTGAGACTGGGCTAGATGAAATTTGCTGAAATTCATATAGCCCAGGAAAAAGGTAAAGCTAACATCTGGACAGTTTTGATTATTATAAAACTTATGTACATTTTGCTATTACTATGTTGTTTCCTTTAACTTTTAGTTTATCTCAATGTATTTATACATAATAAGAACATGTAGTTGTCCATGTTCATCATCAATATTTCCAGTGACTGTAAAACTACTTATGTTACAGAGCATTCTTAAGATTTCTTACCACAAAATACCTGGGCTCATTCATTTTAAGATATGCTTCGATTTTTCTAAAAACTTAAAATGCTTAGTATTCAAACCTTAGTTGGGACTATGTATATAATTTTTCTTAGAAGTAGCTAGACTATGAAATTTAAAATATGAAAAAAAAAGTCTTCTGGTGATCAGAAAACAAGAATAGAACACATTCTTGGCATGCATATAAAAGGAAAGTAATCAAATATATCACAGGGTTAATGAGTATATTTTAAAAGTAAAATCAAGATTGGAAATGTCTTTGTATTTTGTCTTAAAACCATCAAGAGTGGAGATCAGGACTGGGCCTAGTAGTGCATACCCATAAGTCTGAGAACAGCCTGGGCAATTTAGCAAGACCTTGTCTCAAAATGAAACATACAAAAAAAAGGGGGGGGGGGGCTTCATGTATAGCTTAGTATTAGAGCACTGGGTTCAATCCCCAACACTATAAGTAAAAAGAGAGTAGAAATCAGGGGCAAAGTTCAGGAACATATAGAGAATATAAGAAAGTTTCAGAGACTCTTGAGGGTCCAGCCAGCAGTAGGGGAATTTACGTGTTTAATGTAGGATGAACCAATTATTTTTATTTTTTCCCTCATGAAATGACTGATTATTGTTTTTGTAAATCAAACTCTCCATCTTCTTCTACATCCTTACTGCATCTTACAAGTACCTGATACCTATTTCTAAGAGGGTACAAGCCAGGAACTGTGACACAAACTGTAATACCAGCTATTTAGAAGGCTGAGGCAGGGGGATTACAAATTTGAGGCTAGCAAGACCCTTGGCAATTTAGTAAGACCCTATCTCAAAATAAAAATTTTAAAAAGGGAGGGGGATGTATGTAACACAGTGATAGAATGCCCCTGGGTTCAACCCCTAGTATTGCATGCATAAATAAACAAACAAACAAACAAATAAATATATGATTTGAGGCAAAGATGATTTTTTTTCTTAAGGCCAAATACAACTTTGAGTAGACTAATAGTCTTAAACAGTATAACCTTTCTTGTGCTCGCTTCGGCAGCACATATACTAAAATTGGGACAATACAGAGAAGATTAGCATGGCCCCTGCGCAAGGATGACACGCAAATTCGTGAAGCGTTCCATATTTTTTTCTACTGTCATGTATGACTAAAAAATAAATAAATAAAAATTTTTTAAAAAAACAGTATAACCTTTCTCATGTCTGGCATCATTGTACATGTCAAATTATCCTAACTATGGTGGCTGAAGCAGGAGGATAACAAGTTCAGGGCCTGCCTGAGCCACTTAGCAAGAAAGTCTCAAACTTTTGGGCTGGGATATTAGTTTGGTGGTAGAGCACTTGTATGGTGTGCATAAGGCCCTGGGTTCAATCTCCACTATACTCCAAAACAAATATATATATATATATATATTTCTAAAAAGCTAATTTAAATAGTAGCATATGTTTGGAATAAACACGCATTGCTTCAAATTTGTATTTTTTTAAAATGGATCTTTCATTTTATTTATTTTTTATATGTGGTGAGGATCAAACCCAGAGCCTCACACATGCCAGGCAAGTGCTCTACCACTGAGCTACAACTCCTGCCCCTCAAATTTGTATTTTAAAAACAAGATTTTATCTATTTTCAGGAAGAGTCCACTGTCCATCTAGGCCACATGTTGAAAGAAAACCACTGGCTTGTTGAACTACACATATGTAAGCATGGTATAAAAAACTGTGGTATGCAGAAGTTATGCGATGCACTGTATCTGAACAGAAGCCTGCGTTACCTTGATATCAGCTGGTAAGTGATAATTTACTTGTTACTAAATCAAAAGTTGTACATGAGATATTTTGTTACACACTATTTCCAGTGATTAGGTAAGGCAACCATTGTCAACTTTTCATCCTAAGCCTTAATATTTATTAATTTAGATAATATTGTTATTATGTCTCTTATAATCTCATCTTTTTTTTGCTTTTTTAAATTTTTTATTCTAATGTATTATGTATGACAGCAGAATGCATTACAATTCATATTACACATATAGAGCACAATTTTTCATATCTCTGGTGGTATACAAAGTATATTCACATCATTCGTGTCTTCACACATGTACTTAAGGTAATGATGTCCATCTCATTCTTCCGACTTTCCTACCCCCATGCCCCCTCCCTTACCCTTCCACCCCTTTGCCCTATCTAGAGTTTGTCTATTCCTCCCATGCTCCCCTCCCAATCCCACTATGAATCAGCTTCCTTATATTAGAGAAAACATTCAGCATTTGTTTTTTGGGGATTGGTTAACTTCACTTAGCCTTATCTTCTCTAACTTCATCCATTTACCTGCAAATGCCATGATTTTATTCTTTTATTCCTGAGTAATATTCCATTGTGTACGTATACCACATTTTCTTTATCCATTCATCTATTGAAGGGCATCTAGGTTAGTTCCAGTTTAGCTATTTTGAATTGTGCTGCAATAAACATTGATGTGGCTGTGTCCTGTAATATGCTGCTCTTTTAAGTCCTTTGGGTATACATGGAAGAGTGGGATAGCTGGGTCAAAAGGTGGTTCCATTCAGAGTTTTCCAAGGAATCTCCATACTGTTTTCCATATTGGCTGCACCATTTTGCAGTTTCACCCGCAGTGTATGAGTGTGCCTTCTTTCCCACATCCTCGCCAACATTTATTGTTGTCTGTATTCTTAATAGCTGCCATTCTGACTGAAGTAAGATGAAATCTTTTTTTTTTTTTTTTTTATATTTATTTTTTTTTTAGTTTTCGGCAGACACAACATCTTTGTTGGTATGTGGTGCTGAGGATCGAACCCGGGCCGCACGCATGCCAGGCGAGCGCACTACCACTTGAGCCACATCCCCAGCCCAAGATGAAATCTTAAGAGTAGTCTTGATTTGCATTTCTCTAATTGCTAGAGATGTTGAACATTTTTTCATATATTTGTTGATTGATTATATATTATCTTCTGAAGTGTCTGTTCAGTTCCTTAGCCCATTTATTGATTGGTTTATTTGTTTTTTGGTGTTTAGCTTTTTGAGTTCTTTATATACCCTAGAGATTAGTGCTCTATCTGATGTGCAAGTGATAAAAATTTGTTCCCAAGCTATAGACTCTCTATTCACCCCACTGATTATTTCTTTGCCGAGAAGAAGCTTTTTAGTTTTGAGTCCATCCCATTTATTAATTCTTGATTTTAATTTTTGTGCTATAGGAGTCTTATTAAGGAAGTAGGGGCCTAATCTGATATGATGAAGATCTGGGCCTACTTTTTCTTCTATGAGACACAGGGTCTCTGGTTTAATTCCTAGGTCCCTGATAATCTCATATCTTGAATGAATAATTTAGTTATGTTAATCAGATATGGAACAATATTATAAATTCATTAACTTTTTTGGAAATTGAGTGAGCTAAAATAGAAAGTACTATTTATTATGTTTTCAAGCATCTTACTACTGTAAATAACAAAGCAGTACTTTGTATTTTCAAATATTACCAAATATTTTTCCTTTCACAGCAATAAAATAACTCGTGACGGAATGGAGTATTTGGCTGATGTTCTGAAAAGCAATACCACCCTGGAAGTTTTAGATCTTTCTTTTAACAGAATAGAAAATGCAGGAGCAAACTGTCTCAGTGAAACTCTTACTTTACACAACAGAAGTCTTAAAGTGTTAGTATGGTTTTATATTTAATCACATTAACAGAAAAACATGTTTTTTTTTACAATACTAATCTCAAACTCCTTAAATCTTAAATTATGATAAAATGTGAAGATTCAGTTTCTAAATCTTTCCCTACTAAGTTACAGTAAATATTTAATTTCTATTTTTCAAAAGTAATGCCTTTTAAATATTAGATGTTTAGCCCTTGAGAGGTGCTGGGGATATAGCTCAGTTGGTAGAGTGCTTGCCTAGCATGCACAAGGCCCTGGGTTCAAACCCCAGCACCACAGGAAAAAAGAAAGAAAAATTCATGAGAAAATTCTTGTTGGTTATATTATGTACCTTGAATTATATTGAAAAATCAGAAACATTCAATATGATACAGACTTATATCTACAATTTACCCAAACATTTACTGAATAATATAAAGCAGACTACTTTTAAAAGCTAGGCAGCTTTCCTAATTAAATGAAGCATATGATAAGAAAACTTAAGTTTCTTGAACTTTAGAAATTATATGGCCAATATTTTGTTCACATTAAAACATTAAAGAGTAATGCTGAGATTTTATGTGTGAAAATGGCTGTAATAAATGTTATTGCTAACTTACACATTTTTTTCTTTGTTGAACTACTGGTTTCTAGCATTATTACCTTTTGTTTTTCTACAGATTATCAGTAGTCAGCAACAATATAGAGGGAGAAGGACTTGTTGCACTTTCACAGTCAGTGAAAACAAATCCCACATTATCTAATATCTACATTTGGGGAAACAAATTTGATGAGGCCACATGTGTGGTAAGTTTTTCGTCAATGAAGGCTTTTTCTGGAACTTCTCTAAAACAGACATTATTTACATGTGCCTCAGAAATGGTTACAAGATATAAGGAGATGTATACTAAATATACCTGTATTTAATGTTTTGTCTTAAGAGAATACACACGTGTGCACGCACATACACACAAACACATGTATATTGCACTCAAATTTGTTTTAATTGCCATGCAGATTTGAACAGAACAGAATCTATTCATGCAAAATATAAGAAATGAAAACCTTATTTAGAATATTTGTTAGCTGGAGTTTCTTGGCAACATGATATTATACATTGTGTATGTGGATGTACAGCCACATACATATATATATATATGAACATGTGTGTGTGTATTTTTATTTATTTATTTTGGTACCAGGGATTGAACTCAGGGGCACTCGACCACTGAACCACATTCCTAGCTCTATTTTTTTTGTATCTTATTTAGAGATAGGGTTTCACTGAGTTGCTTAATGTCTCACTTTTGCTGAGGCTGGCTTTGAACTTGTGATCCTCCTGCCTCAATCTCCCCAACCAATGTGATTATAGGCGTGTGCTACCGGGCCTGGCCCACATACAAATATTTTAAAATTTGTTGATTTAGATATTTTAGCCTCTCAATAGACTTAGATTACTTAATTTGAGACTCCATTGTTAAAAATCATGGAGCCAGGTGCAGTGGCACACCCCTGTAATCCCAGCAGTTTAGGAGGCTGAGGCAGGAGGATCACAAATTCAAAGCCAGCCTCAACAACTTAGCAAGGCCCTAGGCAACTTAGTGAGACCCTGTCTCAAAATAAAATATAAAAAGGGTTTGGGATGGCTAAGTGGTTAAGTGCCCCTGGGTGTTCAATCACTAGTAACTCACACCCCTCAAAAAAAAAAATTGTGGAGAATTGAAAGAATTGACTTTTTTTTTTTTTTTTCCAAGAAGGTGAGAGGGATAGAGTATAGCATGCTTCTGAAAATTTCATTAGTTTATTCTTACGGGGAATACCAAGAAAATGTGTATTTGGCTATTGCTAAGTATGATATATACCATTTTATATTTATTTTATATTTATATTTCCAAGTGGAGAATAAATAATAAGGAATTACTGGGGGAAAAAAAGAAGATAAAATTCTCAAAATTTGCAAAAGGACTAACCAAAACTCCACTACTTATAGGGTACTAAAATACATACTACTGTCTAATAAACACTCATAAATTTTGAAAAACATCAATGTCCTTTAGTAGTTCTATAAACTAGAAGGTATGTAAGTTGATTTTGGAACCACTGATAATGACAAGCTAAATATGGAAAGCAAAACAAAGCTTTAAATCTTTTTTCTTAATTTTGATGATGCTGGTGATCAAACCCACATCCTGGGCATGCTAGGCAGGTACTCTACCACTGAACTGAACAACATCCTTAACACTTTTTTTCTTTTCTTTTTTTTGGGGGGTGGGGGAAGTACTATGAACCCAAGGGGCACTTTATCACAGAGCTATATCCTCAGTCCTTTTTATGTTTTTGAGAATGTTTTTGAGGAATGGGTCCCCAGCTATCATCAGATTTTTCAGAGCAACCAAAACAACCCTCTACTCAGTGCACCATCACCTTGTAAGACTTAAATTTGACTGTGAAACCTTTGGTCCACTTAGTATAAGGAATTGAAGAGTTACAAAATGACAAAACATGCCTAATACATTAAAAACTTAAAAAAATTTTTTTGCAATATTACAATTTCATTGTAATTAAATGAATAAAAAATACCTGGAAAATATTAAAATTCAACCATGTTAAGAGTGAGTATTTTAAACTACAAAATAGCATGGCTAAATCAAATGTTTATATTTGTTTCAGCATTGTAAGTTGAATAAATTATATTCCTAATGATAATTTTTCCTAAAAATCCTAGGCATATTCAGATTTAATTCAAATGGGCCATCTAAAACCAAACAATACAGATGTGGAGCCATATGTGGTGGATGGACACGTGTATCTTGCAGAAGTCTCCAACGGCCTTAAAAAGCATTATTACTGGACACCAACTCATAGAGATGCTAATAGCCCCTCATCTAGTGCAGATTTTGCTGTGTTGTTTCAGTAGGTCCATATTTCTGAAAAGCAAGCTCTAAAATAGTTTTCATGTAATTACTTCTGTTGGATTTATGTCCTATTCTCTTTCATAAATTAGGTTACTTTTATGAAATATGTAAAACTTTATATAGCTGTCATTGTGAAAAACTGGGTAATTTAAAAAAAAATTTACAATATGAAGATTAAAATTTTAGGGCCGGGGACATAGCTCAGTTGGTAGAGTGCTTGCTTCACATGCATAAGGCCCTGGGTTCAATCCCCAGCACCACCAAAAAAAAAAAAAAAAAAAAAGACTAAAATTTTAATCCTGAAGAAACCAGAACTGTACTAATTATTTTTATAATGAAAATATAACCAAGTAGCGAAACAGGATACAAATAAAGGTCACTACAGATACCTTAACTGAAAGTTGTTTACAAAATGGTAGAAAGGGTTTCAGGTGACAAATTCCCAGTGAATTTAAAGGGTTTTCAAAGTTCAGAAGTTGAAAAAATATTCTATGTATGTATCCTATTTAGGTACAGATAGATGTTAATAACTATTTCATAAATACAGGCATATAAATATATACCCTTTCCAAGGAAGTGAGTGCTGCTAGCTCCTCCAACCCTCCTCTCATAGACAACTACTATACTGACTTTTAATACTACAGAGTCTTTCTGCCGATTTTTTATCTTTATGTAAATGGAATCATATAATCTTTTTGTGTCTGGCTTCTTTTATTCAACATTATATACATGCAATTCATGTTGCTGAACGTACAGTAGTCCATTTTTAATTGTTTTGAAGTATTCTATCATATGCTTGGAAGTAGAATAGTCTAAAGGATTATGAAAAGATATGGCCTTTCAGGCTAAGACACAGCCATGTTAAAAGAAGTCTTTAGCAATATAGTTTGCTTTCTTAGGCTACTGTCTATTCCTGTATGGTATGGAATGGACCCACAAGTTCCTATATTTTTGGAGAGGGAGATTTATAAGATAACTAAAGGGGAAGCAACGGGGCTCTCCTGAGCCTACTGTGGAATGGCATATGTAATAAACCTGCAGCCTGACCTACATTAGACTGCTTGAGACAGTACTGCAGGTGGCAGAGCCTCAGAGATTTCTCCACACCCAAGAGAACGGAGGTGAGGCCAGTTCAGCCAAGAACCACCAGGCTCTGACCGAGTTAGGAAAGACTTGATCATATATTTTTAAAAGCCACTGCTTAACTATATCAGAGGCCAGTAGGATGCCCAAAGAATGGAAGAGCTCAAGATCCCTCACACTAATGCCATTATGTCATGTAAGCCCTCTCCATACATCTGGACACAATTTGAGAGACAAAAAAGGCAGATTAAGGATTACTTTAGATACCTTAAGTTATTATATTTTATATCTCCTTTATATCAGAGTATATGGTAAGTTTTCAACTGGCTAAGATCAGAAGTTAATTTTCTATGGACTTACCAATAGGTAGGGTTTAAGAAGGATATATCAGTTCTGTAAGAAAACTCCATTTCCTCTGCACATCTTAATTATAATGAGTAAATCTGCAACCATATTGTATAACTTTCTCCCATTTTCCTCTTAGCAATTATCCTTTTTTTTTTTTTGGGGGGGGGGGACGGTGACTGGGAATTTAACTCTTGGCTCCCCAAACTTCATTTCTTCCTTTACAGATTGCCTTTCTCTGCTTACTCATAATTTCCTTTAGACTTTAACTTAGCTACATCCCTGGTCCTTTTTTATCTTGATACAGGATCTTGCTAAGTTGCTTAAGATCTCACTAAATTGCTGAGATCTACCTTGAACTTGGATCCTCTTGCCTTAGCCTCCAGCATCCCTGGGATTACAGGCATGCACCACCAAGCTTGGCAGCTATCAGACTCAGCTTAGCTAAGCATAGTGGTACACACCTGTAATCCCAATGACTCAGCAGTTTAGTCTGTCTCAAAATAAAAATATAAAATTAAAAATAAATTTAAAAAGTGTTGGGAGATGTAGCTCATTGGTGGAGCGCTCTTGGTTTAATTCCTGTTACTACAAAAAGATCCAGCTTAAATATAGCTTATTACATAGTCACAGATCATATTATACTCCTCCTTTCAGATTTGAAAGCAAAATGGAATAAAGTAGTATACATTTTCAAATAATGTTCTTTACTCTACACATTGTCACTTTCAAATTTCTCCAGTACTATTCATTCATTATGTCTTAATATCTACTTCTCAAATAGTATCCATCTGGCTCCTACTGTATTACACTGCAGCTGCCTTCTCAAATGATAATCATGCTTCAATTCCCTAACCCAATTATGTCTCTGATTTGCATTCTACCTTGTGATCACTGTAAAGTCCCATTTGAGAAACTTGCACAACTCTGGATATCTTCCTGTTTTTCTGTTATTTTCACCTCCTTTTCTGTCTTTGCACGTACTTTATATATATTTCCCTCAATTTTTGGTCCTCATCTTTTATTCTCGCATATCATCTCCCAGGCTGCCTTCATCATTTCAATAAATTATTGTTGGCCTCATATAGAGCTGCAAGATCTACATTTCTAGATTTAACAATTCCTAGGCTTGATTTCTAACTATTGCCAGACATTTTCACATGCCTATCCCAGTACCAATCAAATATATATCCAAGATCACCTTCCAGACCTACTCCTTATGTTTCTTTCACGGTTGATGGTATCACCATCTTCTCAATCACCAAGTATTCAAAATCAAGAGTCCAACTTAGGGTTGTCTGACTCCAAGGAACAGATACTCTAAAGCCCATTTGAGAAAAAGGGGATTTAATGCAAGGACACAACTGTCAAAATCACTGGCATCCAGTGGAGGAAATGAAGCACTGTTGTGACCCCTCCTCAGGCATGGGACTGCAAAGCCCAAAACCAGGGCCACTCCTTCCTCTCTGGAGCAGTCTCTTGGCTCCCCAAACATATATTATTTCTTGACAGTCTGAATTTTATGGCTCAAATTCTTGAGAAAGAGTCTGTCCAGGTGTCCGGTCCAGGAACTGTTTCTTAAGGTGTCCAGTAGATGGGGGTCACAAGTATAGAATCGTGTTACAAATGCAGCTCCAGAAGTCAACTGGGGTTGCTGGGTGAGATCATGGGTTATAAAGCTGGCTATCTGCCTCTGCTTTAGCAGACATTGGTAGAGGACTATTTCAGGTAAATCAGTGTGGGTACAATGCTGGACATTTCTCTCACTCCTGTATCTATTCATTTAATACTTCTCCATTCTTCCTAGTTCACTCCTCAGTCAGCTTCGTGCTACTTCCTCCCTTCAGCCATTTCCTGTTTGTCTATCCAGGTGGGCAAAGGCCCTTTCTCTATTTAACACCCACTTACTGCTTAACATTTCCTTTCTTGCCTTCTGTTACCATAACACTCAACATTCTGGCTTATTTTACTGCTAGTTATAGTAAGGCTGGCTTTTTCCATGATTATACTTAAGGGTAGAGTTTATCTTATTTTTTATCTTCACACATTTTGTATTTGTTCCAACATTTGAAATACTAGCCAGATATTTTATCCAAATCAGAGGATGTTCACCTCCAGTGTTTACTATCCCCTTCTCAAAATTAAATACGCTAGTTCCAAAAGTTACTATGTTTACACTGTAATTACCTGCTTTCTTAAATACATCAAACTTTACTTGAATGAATGGGGGCAGGGGTTGCAGAGGACAGAAGAGTAGACTATATCATGGTGTCAAGAAATTACTGCTCCAATAACTAAATTTCAATTATTATTCAAAAACAGTGGGTGAAAATTTAGAATTTAAATTTCTTTTTTTTAAAAAATATTTTTTGTAGTTGGACACAGTATCTTTATTTTATTTTTATGTGGTGCTGAGGATCGAACCCAGGGCCTTGCACATGCTAGGCAAGTGCTCTACCACTGAGCAACAAACCCAGCCCTAGAATTTAAATTTCTTATTTTACTATGACTCCTTTTTACATGATGGTGTTTCTAGCTAAGAAATGGCAACTCAAAGTCCCCTAAAAGATGGAAAATTATATTCAAGAGCTTCTTTTAACTGCTTTCCAAAGGTAGAAAACCAAGAAATGTTTAGGATAGTTCCCAGTGTTTGGTATATATCACTTGTGGAGCTTTTCCAGTATGTATATATTTCCTGGAGATTGTCTGATTTATTAAGTCTAAGGTGAAGTGGGCCTGGATATTGCTCTTTCTTAAACTCATTTCTGATTATGAATTAAAATGTTACAGGCGCAGGGAGCATGCCTGTAATCCCAGTGGCTCAGCAGGCTGAGACAGGAGAATCAAAAGCCAGCCTCAGCAATGGCAAGGTGCTAAGTAACTCAGTGAGACCCTGTATCTAAATAAAATACAAAATAGGGTTGGGGATGTGGCTCAGTGGTCCAGTACCCTTGAGTTCAATCCCTAGTATCAAAAAAACAAAACAAAACAAAACAAAACCTGTCTATTTTAACCACTTTCATGTGCACAATTTCTATAGGATTAGAATATAGAGAAAAGATGAATAAATATAGAGAAAAGATGATAAATACTACTACAATGGAAGTGATAGACGCTCTGACTTTGGGGAAAAAAAAAGTTTTCTAAAGTGTTTCTACCAAAATTATCCTGTGAAATTAAACATAAAACAAATACCATTTAAAAATAGCAAAAAAATCATTTATAAATGATCTATGATTTCCTTTTATAAAGTTTAAAACCTAGCAATACAGTAGGAATCTAGTATAAAATTAACTCATTTAGAAAATAGTTTCTCAGAAAGATATTCAACATTCTAAAGACAGACTTTCAAAAAATTCTGTAATACTTGACTAATTAAATCTTTCCTGCATTGCTTAACAAATATATTTAAAGGGGTTAATTAAATGATTCATGTGTTATCATGATTACCAGACAAACTAAAATACAAGCATATTATGATAAATAGTAAAATTATAAGGGATACTGTCTTCAAGCTCTCTTGGTCTATAATTAGTGAAAAGGAGAGGATAACAATGACTCAAGCAATATTAAAGTAAAATTATTTTAGCTAAGCAGATGTGATTTTAAAAAAGCACAACCCCAGCCACTCCAATTTTACTAAATAATACTAAATAACTTTGTAGGCTAATTTATGCAAAGGCAAAATACTAATTATCATTATATTTGAAGAAATTTGACCATTCTTGCCCTCACAGAATTATGCCATGGCCATAGTCATTTTTTAAAAAGAAATTTTATCCATTAGAAGTTTGGATTAATGAAGATATAGATTAAACTAATCTTTCCATTTTGGCAAACCTCTTAAAGAGGCTTGAGTGTTTTAATTTTTTAAAATTTCTTCACATTCAAATTTCCTACTGAATTTAAGCTAAAACAAATTGGCTTAACATTAAACTTTATAGATTTTATTTAAACCCAGTACATTAACTTAATACACATGCATAATTAGATTTTTTTTAACTAAATGACCAAACATTAAATTTGCATTATACAAATGTAGCATTTTATACTCTATTTAATTAAGTCATTTCCACTGGTGGCAATTTATTGTGAAAATAAATTGTGTGTGCTGGGAAATGGTGAAAATCTCTCAGTCTACAAAATTCAATGTTTTTATTACATTCTTCAATAAGTTCCTATGACTTGGATCCCAAATAAAGAAAATTATGATTAAAGAAATCAAGATGAATGAACACATTAACTTTATTATATGTGTAGTTTAAAACTCAAAAACAAATAAGCCACAATTAATGCATGGAAGAAATGAGAAATTATGTCACCATGATGTTCTATCAGCATTATGGGAAATGACTTTGTGAAACAATAATAATTTAATGTTCAAAGATCAAGGGTGAAATAAATTAATATGTGGGAAAAGTGAGATGGAAAAGAGTGGTAGCAAATATGAGGATAAATACTGATTTTTCTCTTGGAAGATAAAGAACCAATATAAAACCATGACAACAACCCAAAATTGTGATTCAACTTAGAAAATTTAAGAACACAAAGCTTATATAAAATGTTTGATAAACTGAACTTTTGATAACCCAAAATGTTAACTGTAATTTTCCTTTTATGAAGTGCTGTGGACAGCCAGTGCCTCAAGTTTGCTAGGCGAATTTCTTGAATCTTTATGCAATATAATGTATCAAATTTAGAAGCAAAGTGATTTCTAGTTTACGCTATTTGTGTCCAGAAAATTCTTTTTAGAATATTTGTTTTAAAAAGTGTATAATAGTCATGAGAGGCTTATCAAAAATTTTCAAAACTCAGTATATATTCCTCATTTCCAATCCAAAAACTCAATAAGATATAAACTGAATCAAATTCCAAAACTGTCTTTTGACTAGATTAAAAACACCAAATGTCTATTTAAAATACATTTTGAAAATATAGTCTCCAATAAATCAAAAACACCGACTCAACTGACCATTGGTTTAGAACCCAGAATATTGAGTTCTAAATGACAAAAATTTTTATAGTTTCCTAGTTTTTAAGAAAAACAATGCTTTTGGTTTCATTAGAGAAGTTACCTCTAATGGAACATATAATTATAAAAACAGCACAGCTCTTACTCAGTAACTAAATTTTCATAGGTGGAAATATGAAAAATTTTTCCACCATAGTTTATGGTTTGATCTATGGAGCTTACAACACTTTAGGACTGATACTAGCATGGATTTTGTTTAAATTTTGAGCGGGAATGGGGCAGGGGAAGATTAGAAAATCCCACAGGTCAAAACAGAAGCACTACAAACTGACAGATTCTACTTCAATAAATGAAGGCAACTCTAAAATTCAAATAAAAATGGAATTAAGGAGGCTCTAACTTAAAAGAGAATAAAACTAATCCACCCACCCAAGATAGTGCTACCATAGAATTAATTCATTCCTTAAAAAGCTGTGTATATAGTCTAGACATAAAAGCCCCCAAACAAAACAAGCACTGCAGTTATGAATGCAGCATCAGGTGCTTTTACTTCGGTGAATGAAAAGAATGGTCACAATTCAAATGAATGAGAATTTAATATGAATATATGCACCTTACCAGAGATGTTTATGCTTACTACCACAGATGTCTTAGCAATTCCACATTCCTCACAAAGTCAGTACAATTGTTGTAAAAAAATCAACTGTGGTTCTGAATATCCATTCACAGTTGACCTCAACAATGTATCTGATGTAGGAGACTGATTATCTGTGACAGGCAGAAGCATGTGGTGGTCCTCAGTCCCAAGGGGAAGACTTAATGGTAGAGTCATATCAGAAGGCTTCACATCCATAGTTTCTGACAAAGGACTTTTTTGTATTGAATCTTGTTCACTCAAAGTATGATCCTCCATATTGGGATCCAGAGTTTTATCTGTACCTGAAATGGAAGGGGAAAAAATTCACACAATCTTTTTAAAAAAACCCCAAATGCCTGAACTACACAAATCTACTTACTGGTCCCAGAACTGCACTAAACCTTCGCAGCTTTGTGTTAGCATTTTCTCTTTTACTGATATACCTGCCTTATTTATACATACTCCATCTGGGTCTCAAGGCAAAGTTTAAGCACCAACTCCATTATAAAAATGGAACTAGTTATTCTAGATAAGAACAAACTTTTTTTTTTATTTACTTCATTATACATTTGTAAAGTTTCATATACTGCCTTGTGGCATCTCTCTCTCACTGCTATATAATAGTCTACCTAGGTATGCCTTGAATCTTCAACTAGGCTGTAAATTCCTCAAATTTTACTCCAGTACCTTCTAAATACTGGAAAATAAAAAATTTAAGTGTTTTATTATTCTGTGAACTAAAGTTCAGACAATGGCACTTTCATTTATATTAAGAAGTCAGAAATTCTGCTTTACTCAGGGGGAAAACTTTCTACTACCTTTTTTTTTTTTTTTTTACTTGTTTTGTATTGTTTATTTCTTTAGCGATACTGGGGGTTTGAACCTAGGGAAGTTCTACCACAGTCACATACACCCCCAACGCTTTTTATTTTGAAATGGATCTCACTAGGCTGCTGAGGCTGGCCTAGAAAGAACCCTCCCCTACCCATGTCCATTCTTTGAACTCTCTTCATTCCTAAAATTCCTAAAATTAGAACTTTCCTAATACCCCAGAAAAACTATTTCACTTCTGTATCTATTATGTCCTACATTTTCCATTTATTTATTAGATTTCTGGTTTTAGTTTTTAAGAACTGATATCTAATTTAAGCTGTTAAAATGTACACTCAACATTTTAACGAAACGCAGCAATGGGAGAACAATTTTTTTAAATATACCAGTACTTACCAGAATGGACTTTTGTTTTGTGCTTCTTTAAATTTTTAATATCTGTGTAAGAATTTCCACATAATTCACAGATAAATGGTCTTTCTCCTAAAAAGCAAGTTAAAACTTTAATATTCACAAAGCTGTTGAGACAAAAATATCAATGTTTATGAATATAAGACAAAAATCATTATACTTTTTAAATTTGGTTTTAATCTACCATTTTAATCGCTCGGTTATAATATACTGAAATGAGAAATTCTATACACGTAGGCATTCCTGTACTTCATAGTATATCCCTATTTCAAAAAAATTTGAGTATTTTTTTTCATTCTCTGAAATTTGTTTACAAACCAGAAAGTAACCTACTCTTTTACTTCTATCATTTAGGTACTTATTGAGTGTCAATTTATGCCAGACCCGGCTAAAAGAGCTAGAGAAAACAATGTAATTATGGGTTTCTGCTCTCAGATAGCTTATAAATTAGAAAATTCTTAAATAATGACAATAGGGTACACTATTACAATTCTCTTTTTTCCCTTTTTTGTGGTGCTGGGGATAGAATCCAGGGCCTTGCACACATTAAGCAAGTACTCTATCCCTGAGCCACATCCCCAGCTCTGTAATTCTTTTGAAATAAGAGCGATTCAGTGCTTCACACCATAAACCAAGAAACATGAGAATACAGAAGTTGCCAATAAATTTATTAAATCTCTACTAGATATTCACACTAATCTACTTAGGAATTATGAGGAAGAATTCTTTAAAATAGTATACTTTAAAAGTGGTATTTCCCTTGTTTTAAATATTTTCTTTATATGCTTTTGTACTACTTTTTACAATAAAAATTTCAATGTTTAAATTTATTCCTAAATCTTGCATACAGAAACAGTTTAATAAGAAAATCTGATATTTTCTTGATATTATTGATTCCTTTTTGTTTCTTGGTACATTTGTGTGATTTAATTCAAATCCTATTGATTTCTGGCATATTTCTTGGAAAATCTTTAAAATTCCTGACCAAATTTACTTCATATTTTAAACAAAAAAAGGCAATTAAAATGTTGATATTCATACATTAAAATAGTTATAGGTAAATTATGACTAGATACCATATAGTTCATAATGGTTTAAAAGCCAAGGTTTACATTAAAAGAAATTAAGAGAGAACAAAAAATAATACGTTCTCCCTAAACACAGACCTGTATGGGATCGAAAGTGTTTGTTGAGCTCTCCTGAGGAAATAAAACTTTTCCCACAAATACCACATATGTATGGTTTTTCACCTAGATGGAAAATAAAAGATAGCGAAGTGGTGTACTATAACCAACATAATATTTGTCAATTACAAATAACCTAAAGTAAGCTTTCTAAAATATTTAAATTAAAACTTATGTTGTATTTTAGAGGTATTTTCAGTGATCCAACTTATATGAATTATTAATAATCATTTTATACTGTTCTTATAACCTGATACTTTTCATATACTGAAACTTTATTCCTACAAATGTCCCTTCTGGTAGAGATGAACTGGGCAAGTAGATTTTTAGGTGATTAAGATTATGTAAATTCATGAATCCATATTTCAGATCTTGCATCTATTATATTATTCAAGGAGAATAAAGCACTTAAGGACGATTCTCTTTTAAAACATACCTTACCAAAAAATGAGACTCAAATCAGTAGTATGCTTCAAGACTGATAATATGCTGCATTATCTGTTTAAGTTACAAACCTCAGAATATCTGTATAGGAAAAGTCTTAAGAAGTTTAAATTCTGTACCACCTAAACCTATTCCTATCTCTTAACTTCCCTCCACAATTTACCCAAAGGAAATAAATTCTCAAGAGGCTTAGGATGTTTTCTAAAGTTATAAAACATGTCTTAATTCAAGTTTATGTAAGTATCAAAATTACCTCACTGATTTTAATGTGTGTTACATGATAAAAAATTTCATCCACCTCTATTATTCTAGAAAATGTGTCAGATTTTTATCTAATATTTAGGTGAAAATCACAATAGCTTCAAGAAGTATGAACAGATATCTAACTATAAAATCTATAATCTTCCTTCTATAAAGGGCCAATTCCCCTTTTTCTTTTATGTACAACTTTCCTTATTTTAGGCAATCTCTGTGTTAAACTCTTACCTGTATGTTTTCGAGAATGAGTGATAAGAGAACTAGAGACAGCAAATGCCTTCCCACAGGTGTCACACACATATGGCTTTTCTCCAGTATGCCTACGGACATGATAGGTCAGGGTGCTGGCCTGGGCAAATCTCTGTCCACATCTATCACAAACATATGGCTTCTCTCCACTATGCTTCCTGTTGGTAAATAAATATACAATTGTATTCTGTTAAGTAGAACAATTTAGAGGTAAAACTATGCAGCAGTCATTTTGCAAATAATATTTCACAGAGTATTTTATTTCAAATTAAAATCAATAGTTGTTTCAATGTAAAACACTGCCAAAATTAAATGTTAAATAAAATTATTAAAACATTAGTTCTGAGAGCCAGGAAGTTTTGCTATCATCTTTACATGGTTGCCAGTGAGTTCCTAATACTGCAATTATTTTTATTGGTCCGTTCACTCATTTGTCAAAATTACTTCCTCAAATCACCAGCACATCCTCATCCATCCTTGCTCCCAGCGGACATCTTGCCTCCTATATCGTTTCGTTTTCCTTCTGGAAACAAATATGAGGATGACAGTTCATCTGACTCCAGAGAGACTATTTGTACAGTACTTGAGATCCTACTCAACGGCATCACTCCTATACCCCATCCTATACCATCCATCCCTGCCACTGGATCACAGCATACAAACAGTATGTCTTCCCTCTTAAAACAAACCTGACCCAGCTTATTCCTCCATTTATCTGTTCCTTTTTACCAAAAATTTGAGTCTCTAAAACTTTTATTTCCATTTCTTCTCTACTCACTTCCTTCTCTACTAACCTCTGCTAACAAGGCTTTTGTTATGAGAATTGCTTACCTCCCATTTCACTAAATTCAAGTAAATTCTTAAGTCTTCATCTCCCTATCACCAGAATTTAGGAGGTGATTATGCCCTTCTGGAATAATTGTCTTCATTTGGATACCAGGGCAGCCCATTTTCCTGGTTTTCCTCTTACACTGGCCTTTCTTTTCTAGTGACTACCTCTGCTGGTTTTTGCACATATCCCAGATCTAAGAGCTCCCTAGAGTACTTCAGGATTTAGTCTTCCCACCTTTTTCTATCCACATTCATTCTCTTGGTGACCACAGACTGATGACTACCAAATTTGTCTCCTAAGCTCCAGACTTAGATAACTAATTGTCTATGGCACATCTCTTGTCAGATGTGTAGTAGTCATTTCAAATTTAAAATGTTCAGAACTGTACTTCTAGACTCTTGAACTCCTTAAACAGCTCTCTCTATAACCCTCCTCCACTAATGTCAGCTCCATCCTTTCAGATCCTCAGGCCCCAAACCTTGAAATCATCTTTGACTCTTCTTACAGATCCTGTATCCAAGCTGTCAACAAATTCTGTTAGTTCTATTTCTAAAATGTCTGGTACCCATCCCCTTGCCTATTACGACCCTGCCCTAAGTCATAATCCCTTCACTTGAATTTTATGAACAGATTCCTAACTGGTCACCCTGCTTCCACTCTTGCAATCCTACAGTCTTTTCCTACTAGAGCAGCCCGAATGATCCTCTTAAAATGCAAGTCATATCACTTGTTTCTCAATCTCAGGAGGTAAAGCTCTGCAATGGCTTATGGGGTTGGGGGGAACTATACCATCCAATCACCATATCACCCTGACCTTATTTCCTAGTTTTTACCCCTTCTTATTACCCTTCAACTACCACATTTCCTGGACTGTGCTAAGAATACTGAAGGCTGGAACCACTACTGTCCTGAATTTTAATATAGCAGTATATTCATAAGATTATGGTAATTAACAAACTTAAACAAGTCATTTTTTGTTTGTATTACCTTGCATGAA